CAAAAAAAAAAAAAAAAAAAAAAAAAAAAAAAAAAGTGATGACAACATAGAGGAAAGCAGTGCTTCTGGCTGTGAAACTTCCCTGAATAGTGATAATACTGCAGTATATTGCTTCTTCATGTATATTGCACCAAACAGTTTCAAAGTGCATTCCTGTTATTTATTCCTTGCACCTTTCCAAGAAAGGAAGGAGGGATGTTATAAGGAGAGCATATCAGAGTTGGATTCAGAAACTTGGATCCTGAGATTTTCTCTCCATAGTAGTCCCCTATTATCCGTGGTTTCACTTTCCGTGGTTTCGGTTAAGTGGTCATCTGCAGTCTGAAAATAATAAATGGAAAATTCCAGAAATAAACAATTGTTAAGTTTTAAATTGTGTGCCGCTCCAAGTTGCAGGAAGAAATTGCACACAGTCCTGCTCCATTCCTGCCTGGGATGCAAATCATCCCTTTGTCCTGCATATCCACACTGTATTTACTTCCTGTCTGTCAGTCACATACTACCTGTCTTGGTTATCAGATTGAAAAAACAGTATATACAGAATTCAGTACCATCTGTGGTTCCCGGCATCCACTGGGGTCTTGGAATATAACCCCTGAGCATAAGGGTGGATTACTATATTGAAAGTTGCTTCTAATTAGTTAGGTCACTGTTGAGAGGGTGCCTATTAAATGGAAAAAAATCAATCTTGTAATTTTTTTTTCTCTTTGTGGAGAACAGGGTCTCACTACATTGCCCAGGCTGGTCTTAAACTCCTAGGTTCAAGCAATCCTCATACTTCTGCCTTGCTAAGCGCTGGGATTATAGGCATGAACCACTGCACCTGGCTAATGTTCTTAATTTTAGCAGTCTAGAATACAAATGTAGGAATCTGTTCTTATATTTATATTTAAATTCTTATATTCATAAAAGTTGGATTTTAAACAAAAGGAATTTATTCATGGAAAAACTGGACATAAAAGAATTCTTCAGTTTTATATTTTTGATAATTAGAAATTCTATAATTCATAATAGTGATTTTTTAAATTGGGTTCTGAAAAGCTCTAGATACATGGAAAACAAAGCTTTCATGACTAAAATATTTACAACTGATTTAAAAGCTTATGTTTCTTTATGCCCACAGACATCTATGCCATTAAATAGTCAATCTCGTACCACTAATATATTCTTAAACAAAGACTGATTCCTAATAACTGGATAATGGAGATTTTAGGTTGAGTTTTATAAATCTAGATGCATCTGTTAGTGTTAAAATAGTTTCACAGTCTGTAACTAACCTGTTCTAAAGGTTTTATTGAGATATAATTTGCATACTGTACAGTTCACTCATTAAAAATGTACAATTCAGCCTTTTTCAGTAAGTTTACAGGGCTGTGTAACTCTCATCACATTCTAATTTTTTGAATGATTTTGGCACTGCCACCCAAAAAATACTCCATACCCATTATCAGTCCCCCACATTCTCCTTCCACTAATTTTCCTCTTGGCAACTGCCAGTCTACTTTCTGTCTCTGTGGATTTGGTCTCTTGGACATTTCATATAGATGAATCATACTGCATGTGGCCTTTTGTGTCTGGGTTCTTTCATGGAATGTAATGTTTTCAAGGTTCATCTGTGTTGTTGCATGTATCAGAACTTCATTCCTTTCATGGCCGAGTAATATTCCATTGTGTAGATGGCACATCTGATTATCCGTTAATCCATTTGTATTAGTCCATTTTCATGCTGCTCATAAAGACATACCTGAGACTCGGTAGTTTATAAAGAAAAAGAAGTTTAATAGATTCACAGTTCTATGTGGCTGGGGAGGGCTCACAATCATGGTGGAAGGCAAAAGGCATGTCTTTACATGGCAGTGGCAAAAGAGAATAAGAACTAAGTGAGAGGGGTTTCCCCTTATAAAACCGTCCGATCTTGTGAGACTTTTTTAGTACCACAAGAACAGTATGGGCGAAATCACCCCCGTGATTCTATTATCTTCCACCAGGTCCCTCTCAACACATCGGAATTATGGCAGCTGTAATTCAAGATGAGATTTGGGCGGTGACACAGCCAAATCATATCACCATTGATGGGCATTTGGGTTGTTTCTACTTTTTAGCTGTCGTGAATTATGCTTCTGTGAACATTTATGTGCAGATTTTTGTGGGTACATATGCTTTCAGTCCCCTTGGGTATATGGCTAGGAGCGGAATTGCTGGGTCCTGGGGTAACCATGTTTAACCATTTGTGGAACTACCAGACTGAGTTCCAAAGTAGCTGCACCATTTTTACATTTTCACCAGGAATGTGTGAGGGTTCTTGTTTCTCCACATCCTCAGCAACTTATTTTCCTTGTTTTAGACTGTAGACATCCTAGTGGTTGTGAAGTGGTGTCTGCTTGGGGTTTCGATTTGCTTCTCCCTAATGACTAATAATGTTGAGCATCTTTTAATGTGCTCGTTGGCCATTTATCCTCTTTGGGGAGGTGTCTATTTAAATTCTTGGCTCATTTTAAAATTGGGTTGTCTTTTTATTATTGAGTCATAAGAGTTCTTTATATATTCTAGATATGTGTCTCTTATCAGAAATTTGATTTGCAAATATTTTTTCCCATTCTGTGGGTTGTCTTTTCACTTTCCTGTTGGTATTGTTTGCAGTACCCTAATGATTTTTAAAAACATTTTCCTCCAGAATTTAGTCGGCGTCTTAAGGAACGCATGCACCACAATATTCCTCACCGATTCAACGTAGGACTGAACATGCGGGCCACAAAGTGTGCCGTTTGTTTGGATACCGTGCACTTTGGACGCCAGGCATCCAAATGTCTTGGTAAGATCAGCATCTGTGCATGTGTGCTGGGCACCTGTGTGTCTCCAGCTAAAAAAAGTCTATCAGGTGGAGGTGATTTTTTCCTAACTCATCATGTAGTGCATTCATTTTCGGGCTTCTTATTTCAGTGGGAGGATGCTATTTTTCCCCTGTTAAAGCTGTGAGTTTATATATGTCTGCAGCTCATGACTCTAACCTGATGCTCAAAGTGCCTTGGGCTTTGCTAATTCCCAGCCCCTTTTTGTCAGGCCGGTCTCTCCCTACCTTTCCGCTGGCTCCAATGGAAATGTGCAGGCATGTTCTTTACACACCTGTTTGTGGGCAACCTGGATTGAAGCCTGGAAAACTGGGTCAAGAGCACTTGGCACTTTCGTTTCCCTTTTCTGCATGGCCCTGGCACCAGGGAAGCTCAGGAGACTACCTGCAAGTCAGGGCCAGGCTCTCTGGGCCTGGCTGGGGGTAGAGAAGCCCTGGGGTTGGCTGGCAGAGGAAGGGAAGAGTCCAGGGTCGGCTGAGCATGCCCTCAGGTGGCTCACTGTTCTTTTCTAGAATGTCAGGTGATGTGTCACCCCAAGTGCTCCACGTGCTTGCCAGCCACCTGCGGACTGCCTGCCGAATACGCCACACACTTCACCGAGGCCTTCTGCCGCGACAAAATGAACTCTCCGGGTCTCCAGACCAAGGAGCCCAGCAGCAGCTTGCACCTGGAAGGGTGGATGAAGGTGCCCAGGTACTGTGGCAGGGTGGCTTGGGCTGGAGCAGGTGCTGGCACAAGCCACTCTGTCCCTGATGTTTTCTAGGGAAGTGTCTTTTCTAGGAACTCTCCCACCTCTGCCACCCCCTCATCCCGTCCTCCTCCCATCCCATCCCCAGCCTGATGATTCTTCCGAGTTCAGACATTTTTCTTTTCCATCCTTCTTTCTCCAGGAATAACAAACGAGGACAGCAAGGCTGGGACAGGAAGTACATTGTCCTGGAGGGATCAAAAGTCCTCATTTATGACAGTGAAACCAGAGAAGGTAAATTAAGAATTCAGGGGGAAGGTCGTTGCACGTGGCTAACCCAGGTCTCCCCAGTGCTG